ACACACCACGTGCATGCGTATCGCGCTCTCAACGAAAAGGCAAAAGTATCTCGCCCCATGTGTCCAAAAGGCCTGTCGGACCAAACGGACGACTCGCACTACCGCCTGCCAAACCGTGTGTGGGGCAACTTCCCACGCACCACCACGCGACCCCCCCCCCACTTCCCCCACTTCCCCCAAGCCTCTCACCAACACCGCGGAAGCTGATGGACATCTCGGCGGGTAGACCGACTCATTCTCCAGCATTTTATGTGGACACCCCCGCTCCAATTTACCGGCGCCAAACGGCAAAGCCACCCCAACCCGCCAGCGTCGCAGGCCCGCCCCAGCCGCGAGAGCCGTCGGCAGGCCAATTCGAGGCAAAGATAATAGTGCCAAAAACGGCGCCAGCTCACGCCCTTCCAAGGACGCCCACCCCGCACGCAGAGTCGCCATGGTCTCCACAGAGGCCCTCAGGGGTGGCAGGCCCCCCCGCCTACCGCGGCTACGCTGCCATCCACCCGGCAGTTCAAGAAGGGGCAACTGTACTGGGATAAGCCCAAACAAAAAACACCGCCAGGCCGTCACACCGGTCGTCCACCCCACATCCGACTATGAGGGGCGCGTGGCGGAGGCCATCCCTGAAAAATAACTAACTAAATGCTCGCCACACCCCACTTCAAAACTCACCCTTTGCGTAGCTGCCGCAAAAATGAATTTAAAGAAAGAGTTCTCACAGGGTGTTTCGAGAGAAAGAAGGAGGGGGGTATATGATTGAACTGCGACTATTTCTTTCAAAGGCTCTACAAAAAAAAAAAAAAAGAAATGAGGCGGCGTCGCGTCCATCCGGCAAACCCACCCTCTTCTGCCACCACTATCGCGCGCGCACCTTACGCAAAAAGAAAAACGTGACAACAATACGCACAATGTCTCGCCTGCCATCCGCTAGTCACGCAAGTCTTGCGCCTCGACGGCTCGTTGCACGTAGTGGCTTGACGCCGCCGCGCCTTTTAAAAGACCGTGAAACTCCAAGCGGCCCCCGTTCAAAACGACGGCGTGGGTGGCGCTTCGAAGCGTCGAGAGACGATGGGAAACGACGAGGACTGTCATGCGGTGCGGCGGCCCCAGTAATCCCTCCATCGCCTCCTCAACGAGGCTCTCGTTGTGGCCGTCGAGGCGGGCCGTTGGCTCATCAAACAAAAACACCCCAGACCCCCTGCAGCCGATTAGCATTGCACGCGCTAGCGCCAAACGTTGTTTTTCCCCGGCGCTCAGCGGCCCCACGAGCCCCTCATATGCAAGTGCGCAAGACTCAACAAAACTGTCGCAACCACACAGTTTCGCCACCGCCACGACCTCCTCCATGGAGACGCCCGGTGCAAAAAGAGAAAAGTTCTGCAAGTAAGTAAGCTCCTCAAAAATGCACGGTGCCTGCTCCAGCATCCCGATGGCAGACCGCAAATAAGATGTGGAAAAGCACCCCATGGGAATACCATCAAGTAGAATAATATTCTCCGCAGTTTCTTCAGTGGGGATTGGTAAACTTGCGCAAAGGCAATGACGAAGAACCTTGACTAAAGCTCGACTATCGCACCATGCATCGCAGGCCTCGTTGACATGCACATGGGGCACCGGATCGTAAATACGTTTTATCAAACTAATGATGGTGCTCTTTCCGGATCCGGTTGGCCCGATGATAGCCGTTTTGTGGCCTGCGAGAAATTCCGCAGTGATGTTGGACAGCGTTGGTTGTAGAGATCCATCTCGCACGCAATGATGAAGCTGCGGGTATACAAAGTAGACACCACGAAAAGTAATACTCTTCAAAAGAGAAAATCCACCAACAATGCGGCCAATGTTATCAACTTCAAGTTTGCCATGAGCTTGAATTTCCCTGCTCCATGCCTGGCGACGCTTCACCAAGAGCGGTGCATAATGAATCGGAGAAGCATCATGCAAGTTAGTTGGCAAATGGCGAGAGAGCTGCATGGCCAGACAAAACGGAGGTCCAAAATTATAATCACCATATTTTTTCAATGCGACACGGTATCCGCTCATGCGGCTCCAAAGTGAAACTGTACTCAGACCGTCAATAGTACTCATAGCAACCCGATAGTCTTCAGTGCCACACGAAGCAACGGAAGAGAGTTGGCGAACAATAGGCCACGATATCCAGGGAAGTTTCACATCCGGACTAAACGCGGCGTAAAAGAAGACTCGCTCTGTAAATTCCATCAGTTGCACAAAAGTCCGCGCAAACACATTGTGAAAAGGGCCGGATACAAAATCAAAAAGAGACTCCTTGATGGACCGGCATCCCCGCTGCTTAACCGCCGTGGCCGCTGTGTGGGCAAAAACAGTTTCAAGGCCAAGCTGACGAAGAATAAATCGAGATGGTTTATCAAACACATCATCAAAGGAAAGTGTTTGCGGAATATGACGCATGCCTTGCGGATCATTTAAGAGGGCAATCTCCTCAGGATGTAGAATGACCTCCGTGTTCCTATCCATGACATGCCCTTGACCTGACTCATTCCTTCCCACCACATTTGTCACCGCTGTCCCAGAAGCTTGAACAGCTGCAGAGTTCAAGACAAAACCTCTGACAAAAGCCGCGTTCTGCTTGAGGCTTTGCACAAGCGAACTTAAGCCTATATTTTTTTGCCAGGCCGCGGGTGATTCTTCCTTTGTTGCAAGAGCGTAGCTGCCATCGTTGATAACCTCGTCCAGGAATATTTCCAGCAATTTCAGATGCTGCATTGCTATGGCCTCACCCTTGCCGCCCGAGTGAGGGCTTGCTGAGACTGGCCAGTCCAATACAAACGTTCCCCCACAAACGATAAGTGCAAGACAGGGGTGGAAGGTTGTTTTCCGCCGGTATCGCCGATGCATACCTTCCTCTTTCCTTCCTTCCGCTTCGGCTAAGACGTCCAGCATAAGGCGGAGGCCATAGCGCGGCTCTGATGGTGGTGAACCTTCCTCTTCCATGCGCGCCAACTCGTGGTCCATCTCCTTGGAAACCGTAATTCCCAACCAACAACTAAAAGCATACGCCGTTGCATGATAATCAAACATGGCAACAATAGCAGCAAAGACCGCAACACAAGCTTCGCGTCGCCACATGCTAAACAGCACTACCGCAACGCGTGCCATAAACCGTTGCTGCTCGTAATCAAACTGGCCAAGAATTTGTGACGCTACATGCTCGGCATACGCCGACGACTTTTCTACTGGATTGTCTCTTCCTGTGATACCTCCCTCGATGCAGCGTCTCAAAAAGGCCTCATCTGCAGTGGCCAATTTCACGTTCAACTCGTAGTGTAATTCAGTGCGTAACAAAATGCATATTTTTGCCTTCACGGCGTCATCCAGAGACCACATCACGGCCTTCACAATTGCCGCTAGCGAACCCCAAATAACATGCCCTGAAAACTCCATGAGAATTTGTTCACGCCCCACATCACTTGTGGCAGAGGAAAGGAATGTAAACAACATCCATTCCGCAAAGAAGTTGGACTGTGGCGCCATCAAATTTATACCGACACGCGCTGCGTGGCTCAGCGAACGCAGTCGTAGTAGCACCTGTAGTCTGCGTGAATCTGCCGCATCCCGCAGCAGCACATCACATCCGACCCGTCTATTTCGCCTTCTACGCTTGAGAGAAAAAAGGCCTGTTTCCTCGTCTTCCATGTCTACCCCTTCACCTGTCACCAATTCAACCCCCTCAAACAGCTTCTCTTCATAGAAACGACGACAGGCCGCCTCACGCCTTTGAAGCTGTTCCCTGGCCAATGGTGCAGCATACGTAAGAAATAAACGATCAATCTCATTCCATAAACGCTGCCATTGAAGGGGAAATTTCCATTGAACAAGACGACGCAGAAGGCGAAGCGTGCGCATTGTCCTCAGCATGTCAGGGATAAAACGCACAGAAACCTCTTCTGTCAGAAGAGGCAGAACATCCACGAGGTCCCTAATCCAGGATTCCTCCGCAGTACTCGTGAGAATAGTTTCAACAGGAAAATGGCTCAAGGGAAGACAGAGAAAACGCCCTGAGTCCGTTCTAGATAAAGGCACAATCCAAAAAGGGCGCTGCCCTACAAGCCATGAAGGCATACGCGGCATCGGGGTACCAATCCCCATTTTTTCTCCATCATCCCCATAGAGAGCACGATGCCAGAGTGCTGCGTAATACCGCACCTCTGCCATTAGTGTGAGTCGTCTAAATGCAACGAACTTAATAATATACCCCAATCTTTGTAGCAATAACATATCTTCTACCACGGAGGCGCACAGATGGCGGCCGACGCGCCAAAGACGCAGCCATTGGCTCAAATTGACTGCAGGTGCGTACGCCATGGAGCACACGACACCATGAAACGGTGTTGTGTTACTCTTCGCCCTCCCACTCTCTTCATGCGACCTAAAAAGAAGTCTATCATGCGCCTCGTCGGTCGCTGACGCAGTCATCTGTTTCTCCACCTCACGCAAACATGCTTCCTCCCAATCCTGCACGATTTTTCTTACAGTGCACAAGAGTATCACCCTGTTTCGGAGCCGCATCGGGGAACCCCAGCGATCCATCAACCATCGAACTACCACCGCAAGGCTCAGTGAAACGGTAACACTACAAAGAAGAACATTAGGGTGAAGCAATTCCTTCCCACCCATATCCCCCCATCCAGTAGAACCTACTCCCTGACCTCCCCCACCCCCTAATAACAACAATAATTCACACTTTTAGGTTTTAACTTTCGTGACCAAAAAATATTGTTTGCTTCTTCAGTGCAAATGACGCACAGCAGAGCAAAGGATGTAGTCTTGGTCGCCTCACGGCCCTCATAAACTCCGCAGGCGCAAAAGATTGGCAGTGAAGGAAAGAGTACAAAAAAGCAGATGCGCCTGTCAAGAAACAGCGGGCAAAAACATGGTAGTGACTCCCACACTTCCCGTCTCTCCTCACCCTCAGCAAAGCAATCACAGCCAATGGGAGTCACCATCGGATGGCGATCCCGCACCGTAATTTTTTACCCTTCATACGTTCTTCTTTCCCCACACATCTCTGGCGAGGCAAAAAACAAGCAAACCAATACATAAACATCACAAACAGATTCCCATATGCCACCGTTCCACAGTAAAAAAAATAATATGAAATAAGTGAAAGAAGACACACCTGCGGATCATGACCCAAGGTGGCTGAAGATTGTGCCTGGACAAGGCCTTTCCGCTTCATACTCCCAAACGAAAAAAAGAAAAAAAAAGGCAGGTGCAAAACAAGGCGGTGACAGTTTGCCTCTGCGTACGCCCGCCGTTCCCCAATTAAGAGGATATTCATCCAACACACACGTACAGACCAAGAAACAAATACACTCAAACGACGCTCCAGAATAACAGGGCGATACTTCTCACACTCACGAAAGGATCGTATCTGGGGCCTCATAAGCGCCACACTCCCCCTCCGTGCAAAAGCACCAGAGTTACAGTAGGAGAAAGAGAATTCATAATGATTATAGCCCTACGGCTCATTGACTTCCAACGCGGCATCGTTGAAAAAAAAACTAGTAATTAATATCGAGGCAGGAAAGTTTTTAAAAAACACAGAGTCATGTACTGAGTCTCATTAAGTCGCGCATGCCTTGCATATGTCATTGCAAAATCGTGTAATAAGTTACACCAAATAAAAGAACAGGCAATTTTGAAAGGTACACAGTCGCAACCAAAAAAACAACAGCAAAAAAACAACAACAACAAGCAAACAGGAATTCATTGGTATGAAACGCAACAAAACTTTTTTGCTCACCGATCCCACTCTTCTTCACCAAAATTAGCAAAAATAGAAGAAAAAAAAAGAAAGTAACAAATGCATATGCGTATTTGACATCAATTTCTTGCAAGTAAAAATATGCCCACCTGAAATGTATACACAAAATACAATTTCACATGCATCACGCCCAAATACAGACCCTTCTTTCTCCTATATGCAAACCTCTTCCAACCCTTTCTTCAGTTCAATCCCGCACCTTTGAGACGCTCCACCGCCTTCCAGTTTGTTGACTCCACACACCTCACAAACCGCATCACTGACTCACCACAAAGCGGATAGTTAAATGATAAGTGCATCTTATCCTGCAATTCAATGAGCCTTTCAACAACCTAGGTTGTTGTTCTCCGTCTCGTAGCTGCCCCATATGAGACTGAACTGGGAGGAGCGACGGCTGAGATGCACTGGGATATGAGCTGGGATTGGTTGCGTCGACTGGCGAAGCGCTTGAACACCATCGGTGGATGGCGCTTCGGCACCGGACATTGAGCCCCCAGGACCCATTATGCTGTCAAAGCCACTCATGGTGTTCATCCCGTAATTCCCAAAGCCCTCTCCTCTACACCCAAGCTACTACGAGGCTGGTATGCACTGCCCGTTCTCGCGGTACCTTGTGTAAAAGTACCATGGTTGTTGCCTTGCCGAAACACGCCCTGATTTGCATATTGGTCACTGTTTCCTCCATGATTTGTCTTTGATGGTTTTTTTTTTGCACCAAAACTCCAACATGTGGATCAGAGCGCGGAGTCAGTTGGGACCCGGGGGTATTGAATCCCACAAGGTTGTGCTGGTACCCGCGTGTGCGGCGGAGCGGCCCCACCCACCTATGAAGCAGGTTGACCGCTGTACATTCTCTGCATGCAGTGGAAGCACTCCTTTCACAGATTTGTTACAATAAATGCGTCACTCACTCCTTCTCTTCGGGGCGTGTTAGACTGGTTTAGTCCTCCCCACTTTTGCTAGCCTCCTTCCTTCAACCCCAAAACGTGGGAAAGTGAAAACAAAAAAAAGCACACACACACACACTAGAGTGCAGGGGACGACACAACAATAAACACCAGAGTAGAAGCATGAGGGCGAGGCAACAGACATATCCCCGCCTCAGCCCCTTTTGACAAGCAAACACAACATGTGGCAAGAGCACAACGTGATAATAGCACTGTTGTATGAACGCATAAAAATAACAGATGGAGGTGATAAGTGTGGGTACCCCTCCCATAACAGCAAAAGTGGGACATTAGGTACACCCTTCCATTGGCGACACATCACAAGTACACAGAATGATGCGTGTTCCCCCTACTCTCCACAACACACTCATGTGCATGAGGAATCGTGTTCCAAAGCCCGACGAGGAAAAACACGTTCAGAGTGTAGGGGCAGCAATGGAGGTTTGACGGAGTTACACGAGAAACAGCATCAAATATACGCAAAGTCACAGATACATAAAGAAAGATAGATATTGATAGGCAGGTAAAGAGTGAGCTGTCCAATGCAAGAAGCAAGTGGTCAGCTAAATGACATAATGATGCCTTTCGTAGCAAATCCGTTCATACCAAAAAAAAAACACACGACAAAAAATTTATTACGGTGAACATACACATATATACACACACAAACCTCGGGCCCACATACCAGACAAAAAAATACTGTCAAGAATAAATCAAATAAATGGACTTCTGGTGGAAAACAGCGACAACCAAAAAAACAAACAAACTTCAATGGCAAAAAGACAATTGACTATAATGAGGTAACTTAGCTGTCACTTAAGTACCAATTAATAGAGGCCAACTCCCCCCCCCCCCCCCACCCTCTCCTCCCTCTGATACAATCAGGCAGATTGAAAACCATCAATACATGTGGCTTCGATGCTGCAAAATACTTCGCACTCCCGTTCTTTTTTTTTCTTTTTTTGAAGGTCTGCTATTTTTGCGGACGCACCTTTTCTAACAACACATCCAAGGATTTTTTGAGTAGCATACGATTCTCAATGTATATCTCAGTGCTTTTCTTCTCTGCTAGATTGCTAATCTTCATTAGACGTGCATCTGCCTTTCCAATCGCTTCATCCAAAGTCTTCAGGAGTGTTCGAGCACCCCCGTATCGCGGAAGAGAATGTTCAACATTCATAAGCGACTTTTGTAGCCTAAATGCTTCGGCTGCCCGCGTGTCGTGTAAGTGAGACACATAGACGCTAAGTGTATGACAAGCACCATAGATACTCTCATTTAAAACGGCTTGTGGCTCCTCGCTGGACGAGTGCAGAGCAACCAGTAGGTTTCCCACAGCTTCTCCAAGAAAAATAATTTGCAGCGAGCCCACTATTATGTCCCCATCATCATCTGTTACTCCCATCACACGCTTATTGAGCAGTAGTGAAAACACAATATAGCTGATTTCAGTACACTGAAATGAACTACAGTTATCTTCCACATCGTGCACAATGGAGTCAAAGGCGTTGCTATCTCGAATGTTACGATATTCCAATCCCAAAAACTGCATGCCAAAAAGTGGAGAGAGACTGACTGACAAACACTTAAATTTTGGACGTTTCTCGAGCAGACACGCCACCTCATCTTTCCTTATTGCGGCAAAAGCACCTGCAAGCGTTATGTGATTGACACTTCTTCTCGCCTCCTCCATAGCCTCATCAATAACCCTACGCAAAAATTCTTTTAAAATACACCAAGAAGGAGATCCGAAAACTGGCACCTTCCTCGTCAAGCCCGACCCCTCTAAACAAATCACTGATGTGGAGTAACCGGAAATAAACAAATCCTTCACCTTGTTCAATTCCACTGATTCCGTTGAATTGGAGTTATTCGGATGCGTGACAATCTCATCTGGTGTAATCAGCATATCTGGAACTCCCACCACTTTTATGGCATGCTCACCTTGGAGAACCCTGACAAGTGGACCCCGATAAGCTGAAGCTTCCTCCTTCCCTTCTACGTCCTTGTCTTCTTCTGGCGAGGACTCCATCACAACAAGAGTACGTACGCGGCTCTTGTCACATGATTTCGTAACTTCTTTTGCACGCGACTCATCAGATGATGCGCTCCACGATTCCTCTGAAGTCGACCCGTATGTTTGCGTTCGCTTGAACAGGTGTCGTTGCACCTCCTTCCCACCAATATCAAACTCAACTGTCGTTGGGCATATACGACGTTGACTCAAGCAGCCCCCATCTTTCGCCCTTGATGTAAAACTGCTTGTGTGCCTCAGAATGCCTTTCAAAGGCTCATTGCTGGATCCAACAAAAGAGTGGTGACGTACTTGGGGCTTATCCACAAATAAGACATGTTGGTTCAACGGCTTCGGCGATGGTGCCCTAACGGGTGCTTCCTGCGATCCACGCTCGTCTTCATTCATGGCACAACAATTCTGTCTCCTGGACGCATAGTTGTCGACCATATATGCTCCGACATCCCCAGATGATCCAGGAAGTACAGGGTCGTCCAGTACCATACATGCCATCGGGGAGTAGGAGTCCACATTGTTGTAATTTTCTCCTGAAAACAAAAAATTTAGCATCTTATGATCATTGATATGCGGCGCAGGAGTATGAAAAAAAACGAAATTATTTTCCTTACAATGGCGTTTCGCATTGCTATGGTGATGTGTGGCGCTTGTATCCCCTCCTCGTGTAGTGTGGGGGGATGAAGAAGCTGGATCGTAGTGCTGCACATCGTTCATTTTTGACAGATTCAGTTCTTTCGCGGATTTCATACCCTTGGTCGAATGTCCCGACCCCATCCTTGTGCTCTTCCCTACAGAAAAGGCAATGACACAAAATCACCCTAAACAAGTTAAGCACCACCACTCTCCCTCCCACCACACACACACCGTTGCTATACCCAAGCCTTACCAAAGTTAAAAAGAAAAATGAAAGAAAATTAGTAGTATCCATTGGCCTTGACCCGCAGATCTTGGACCCCAACCCTAACCTACAGTCCAGCTCCGGTAAAACTCATTGCCATACACCACGCAGCAGCAAGCCAAATCTGATCTTGCCGTTATTGAGAGAGCACTCGGAAAAAAATAATGTATCATAAACGCACGTGTTTTAGCTCAACCCCCATCGTGTGCCTCTCCCTTTCCCTACACCCACTACCCCATAGGAAAGAAAATAAGACAAGAAATAAATGTATCTGCGAAAAAGTCATTTATTCCCACAATAGCCCTTATCGTTCTCGTCATTTCACGTTTGCCTTTGCTTTGTACTCTACATCCCGGCCTGGCGAGGTCAGACATCATCCCGCTCATACGTATCCAACACGTCGCGATCGTCTGAGTCTGAGATGTCACAATTTGTCCGCTTCACTTCCGAAAACGAGAGAAATCGCCTTGAAAAGAAGAGCCCCGCGTTGGCGGGTCGGGAGCGGGCGTGCTGCTTCCGCCAGCCATCGCTCTCACCCCGCTCCAAAAGGCGGGTTCGGGTGCCGCGTCCAGGGAGCCCAGGCCCAAGGAGAGCGCGCACTCCCTTTGCTTCCCCACAGGGTCACCCTTCGTTGGCCGCGCCGCCGGGCACCTTTTTCATTTCTCCTGTCCGCACCACCTTCCTTAGATGTGGAAAGATGGAGGAAAGAAGAAGCAAAAAAAAAGGCGCGCTCTCGTCGGTTGGCTTGATTCCTTTCCTCGCCTCCAGACTTCCCGCACCCGCATTCTTTAGACAGGCGGCGCACAGTTTCCGCACAAACAAGAATGAAAACGCGGCTGGCCTCGCCTTCTGTTCCATTTTGCTTCTCGCCACGCCCCGCGCCCATGGAGGAAATCTCTGTTTCCCGCGCTGGCGGTGCAAAGGTGCACCTGGACGTAAATGCGGCATCCGCTGCCGTGGTGGAGTGCTCTTGGGCAACCCTTAATACCCAAAGCAAAGGGAATAAAAAGCACGGTGTAAGCATTAAACATGATTTAAAAGTGGGACCATCTTTCCTACATTTGCGGTGGTGAAATATATATATATATATATTATATCAAATGATTCTACACTTCCCCATCCCAGCTCCAGCCATCGCTGCTCGTTACGCTTCCCCGGCGCAGGAGTGATAGACCACTCCCTTTCTTATCCTCCAACTTATGTTCCTGTGGCGTAGGTGTCGCCAGTTCCTCTTTCATTGGCGACTCCGACATTCGGCCCAAAACCTGCGCAGCTGTAACTGAGATTCCTCCTGTGTGCATTGTTTCTGCTGGATCGAGGCCCAGCGACGTCACCCGACGCCAGCCACGCCGCCGACAAAATGACCGAGCACCTCCATACTTCCCACAAACTGGAAAATACAAATAGAAGTACAAACACGCCAACAAGCTGACAATGAAAAAAAAATATATAGCAATAGAGCTATATCCATTGTCGTCGCTGACCGGGGCGCCTTTGCCAGGTTTCTGGGAAGCACCGGGCGTATCCTGCTTCGGTTCAAGAAGAGTATTCCTGTCTGCTTCAATAAATTTGCTCGAGAAGCTGTGCGGCGTGTCCGTGGAGTTGTGTGGTGTGTCCGTGGAGTTGTGCAGCATGTCCGTGGAGTTGTGTGGCGTGTCCGTGGAGTTGTG